AGAAGTAAATCCACCCCCCCCCCCCTCCCCTTCAAAAGTTAAATGGTTTTTGGCACAGATGTAATTTAACCGTTGTAGGTTACAAAATCGGCCTTTTGATATGCAGTAAATAAATTGTTATTAAATGTTTTACCTTGACTGTAAACACAGGACCAGAGTCGCCTCTATCACCCTACATAAATTTGAAATGAAAAAAGGTTTATTATAATAATCGATACTAGTCTTCGTTTTCAACCGAGGTGGCTTTAACGTGAGTAAGTTATGAAAGTTTATTTAAAACTGCTAGATAAAAAAATAGTAAACTTAGAAGTACCTTTTCTCCTTTTTGGCCTTTGTTCTGAAAAAAGCGGAAGCAAATTTAATAAAATTAATAAAATGTTTTGCAACTGAAAGAAGAATTACTCTTTATATACTTACTGATGATTTGCTTGTCTTTCCGCCATTTTCCTCCTGAAAACGATGGCATTAGAAAAATTTAACAAAAAGAGAATTAACTGGAATAAGATATACAAGTATGTACTGTCAAAAGCAAACAGAATATTAAATAGAATAAGAGAACATATATGTATTAATCAAAAGAGATGGCTTCACTAAGCACAGATGGTGGTCAACATGTATCTTGTCTTTTCTGTAACACTATCTTATTTTGTTTGTTTATTTGTGTGTTATTTGGTGTAAATAATTTTATATATCCTTATTTTTTTCATGTGAGCCCCCTCGATAAGCATGGCTTTTGGGGCAAACAGTTAAATAAAGTTTATATAAAAAAAAACAAAAAAAAAACCTGTGGATATATCAGAGTGAGAAACTAATTTACTTTTTTGTTATGCAATTAGTATGTTTCTGTATGTACATATATGTTTCTGTTATGTAGAGTTCCTATGCAACGAACGGTCACATTTTATGATTGAGTTAATAATTGAATTAATAATGATGAGGAAAACACAAAGAAAAATTATATAAAGCGTATCGTATCTTTATATGTGATAGAAATTTCCCGCCATGATTTACATAAACTTTAACTTTGATTTTCTCGACTTACATGTACAATGTATTTTTTATTCAGTTTCAATCGTTGATGTGGTCATTTGAAATCTTCCCCAGAATAGAGGAAACGCCATTTCATGGACTCTATATTTCAAAGTTTTTCGGGGGGAACATGCCCCCCCCCCCCAATAGAATGCTGTGCCCGTGAAAACAGTCAAGTATAGTCGACAAATCTGACAGTTTGTTTTTTGTGGAAGTGGAGACTTTTGCATAATCCGCGTATATGCAATGTTAACCAATGTTTAGTGTACATACTGTAGGCTAATACAGACCAGGTTAGACTTGGCAAAACTATACCTCCCCCCCACCTCCCCCCTCATTAAACGAGGCTTAGCGCCGCCCCTAGTTGGCCACCATCTGCTACTCATCGATTCTTACTGAGCCCCACCAATAAACAATCAACATATTGGTTGTATCTGAGAACATAATCAATAACAAATCAATTTGTATCAATAGATAATCAAGAGTGCATCACCATTCATTAACGATGTTCATTCGTGACAATCACTTACCATTTATTATATATCATTAATTGATTAATCGATTGCATTTCATTGACTGAATGATTGATTGGATTTGATTGCATTTGATCGATCGATTGAATGCATTTGAAGCGGTTGATATCGACATATATTTGATTCCTACCTGGGACAAACCCCTCACTTTATTGCAGTTCGTACCGACAGAGCAAGGAATCATATTATCAGTCAGATGCGAATCGACTGTCTGTTCGATGCAATTTCATATATCAGGGTTAAAAAGATAAATATGTTATTAATAAGTAATCAAAATAGTTTGATTCACATGTGGTGAAAATGTAGATTGCTAAGAAAGTGATTGAGTTATACTAGATGTAAAATTTAGATCCTTGAGGGGCAAACCACTCAAAAAATCTCGTGCACTTTGATGAAATTAAAAAGTCAGCTTAAACTTTCGAAGTGCCGAAAGTCTGTAAAACAACGACTAAAATCCCTATAAATATTCATGATTTAATAAATATAAAACATTTTCCGTGTTGATATACAGTTATATCAACACGAGTGGAAATTGGGAAAACGAGAAGGTTTTCACACAATTCCGAGGCAGTGTGACCAGGTTTAGTACATTTTATTACCAGATCCGGTTGGATGCCCTTAGACAACCCCACCTGCTTTAAACAACTGCAACATTAAGAACAGGAGAGGGCAGCCAACCAATTTTAAGCAGTTTTAGTAAAAAAATTTGCATATATGGTCACACTGTTCCGAGGACGCACGGAGTGTTTCCACACAATTTCGAGTTTTCCCAATTTCGACGAGTGTTGATATAACTGTATATCAATACTGAAAAATGTTATATATTTTTTCATAATATAGCACAAAGAAATATAAAGAAAGAAATTTTCCATGTTGATATTGAGTTATGTCAACACGCGGCTCTTAGCCAATCAGCGTTCAGAATTACAAATGCTATTTAAAGCATGAAAAATACGGTTCAAATCTAAAATATACTACTCAATTTAAAAAGCATCCCCGAAAATCTGAGAGAATGTAACGGAATCGTTACTTTAGAACTGTCATTTTATACTAAATTAGAATATGGTTTCTGACGATTGCCTGGGGCCCGGTTGTATAAAAAGGTGATTAAACTTAACTACAGTTAGGGAAACGTCATCCAATAAGAAACGCGTATTTGAGAGTTAATCACTATTTAACCACAAAATAGTGATTAAAAAGTGATTAAGAGTTTTATACAACCGGTCCCTGGTATGAGCATTTCTTGCAATTATTATGAAACCAAGAAAGACTATGTAAATGCGTTTTGCTGTATAGCTTCATCTGGAAATGAAAAACAATAAAACATTGTTTTGTTTTATTTACGACACAAAGTCCCAAAATTCCCAAAACGTCCGACCAAAAAATTTCCGGAAATTCGAAAGTCCAAAAATTTCGTACACTTTTTGGGAATGATTTGCCCCTTATATGATAGATCGTTGAGTTATGTACATCAATTGAGACATATGCAAATGTTACGTGACATCATAAAGTCGATAGGAATGTAGACGACTAAGATACCGAGTTACTCGCTGAGAATAACCAATAAACAGAAAGTCGAATTTATTCAAATACTACACACATAAAAACGCACAAGTTGTTACAAATCTGTTCACAAGCTGTCGGCAAGTTGTGTTCGCACTGCTTGTTCCCAGTTGTTGTAACAAGTTTGAAACAAGCTGTTAACAACTTGTAACAAGCTTGATGGCACTACCTAACAACTTGTAACAAGCTTGATGGCATTACGAGACTTGTTACAAGGTTGTTCTAATAAGTCTGATACAGTCATGATATAACGAGAATGTTACAAGGTTGACGACACAAGGTTGTAACAATATTGTTATATCATGACTGTGTCGGACTTTTTGGAACAACCTTGCAACAAGCCTGATAATATCAATAAGATTGTTACAAGTTGTCAACAGCTTGTTCCAAACTTGTTGACAACTTGGGACAAACACTTGTTGACAACTTAGGACATAGCTTGTTGACAGCCTCGCTACAACATGTGAGATTTTTGCATGTGTAGTATATATAATGCATTAGGGACCGTTCATTATTTATACCCGGGGTTGCTACCGAAGAGATATGGGTTGGGTAATCAAGTTTTTGACTAGCTCATGGGTTGGGTAAAAAAAAATTATGGCTGTCTGTCAGCTATAAAATAAAACTAAAATTACCATGCATTGGAAATAAAGAAAAATGTGTACAATACATTCTGTACCAAAATAGACCATCAGTGATTGAGGAAGGACTGTATCATTGATCAGCAGGAACGTGATTGCTTTGGCACACTCAGTGAGTTTGAGTGTGAGTGAGCTTTTTACTGCTTTTAGAAATTAGGCAACTTCATTTCTGTCACCATAATCTTGTCTTGTATGTAATAATTATTATGCAGTACAGTAACACATGGGTTGGGTAAACATTATTTTCACCAATGTTGAGGTTGGGTAAATAAAACATTTACAGTGTTTTTCGCTTCTCTTCGGTACCAACCTCAGGTATAAAAAAATGAACGATCCCTTAGTATTTGAAAAAGTGAATCTTCAATTTAACCCTATATTCAGGTGTTAAAACAATCCTAACCTGCCCGATATTCGAGTAAAAGTTATAAAGATTAAATGGTTTTTCTAAAATATTCTTAAATATTAGCACGTACGAGTGAAAGTCACGAAGAACAACGCGTTCAAACTAAAATGGTGAATGCATAAAAAATACAGGAATTACGCATTGCCTGCACAGCCCGATCCTAACCCCAACCCTAATTAGCCATTCCGACGTTGATGAGAGGACTGGGAACGAGTGTTAAAAATTGCCCAAATTAAGAAATGAACCAAATCACTAAAAAGACCACCTCAAAATTAGTAAGTATACAATGTTTGATAACGCTTACATGAATACCCTTCGAATAACAGGCTTTCGAAAATCGCGATATTTACTATGAAATGTATTGTAATTTGTGTTTTTGGGACGCGCGTCCCAAAAACAATCTTTTAGGGTATTCATGTAAACGAAGGGCATGTCGAAGGGTATTCATGTAAACGTATTCAAACTTTGTATACTTACTAATTTTGAGGTGGTCTTTTTAGTGATTTGGTTCATTTCTTAATTTGGGCACTTTTATCACTCGTCCCCAGTCCACTCATCAACTTCGGAATGGCTAATAGCTAACACTAACCCGACTGTTTTAGGACTTAGTTATTGAAGCGAAGTCACGATGAACAACGTATTAATACTCAATTGGCGAATGCATGTTAGATAGCAAACACAAATCAGTATAACTTACCCTTGGTTTGGATGCTTCGGCAGTTGTTGCAAAAGCCGCGACATTTGATTTGGTAGTAGGTTCTGGAGTAGATACTACATTTTGCGCATCAGTAACAGGTGATGGTGTTGAAACAATTGTTGAACCTTCATCAATTTTATTTGAGCTGGTCACGATATTTTCTTGGGTAGGGACTTTGATTCGCATTGTGGGTTCAGGGGTATCTTCGGGTGTTTTCTGTGGAGTTGTTTTAGGGTCAGGGGTTTTCTGTGGTTTAGGGGTAGGCTCTGTGGGTACCTGTGTTTCAGGGGTGGATTTTGGCTGGGGTGCACCCTCCGTCGACGGCTGAATAGGGGATTGGGTAGCAGGAGGGTTTGTTGGTTGAACCAATGGAGTCTGTTGGGTCGTCAATTCTTCTTCGATTTTACTGGTGCTTGGATTTGTTGTTTCTGAGACGCCTCCCCTGGATTTGGTGTTCATATTGACTTTGATCACACCAGTGCTTATTACAGCCGTAGTTGTGTACTCGTCAGTCAGGGGGGTGTTGCTGGACGCTGATCCTCCGTCCGTAGTGCCACCGTCACCTTCGCCGCTATTCTCTCCTGTCTGAGGTCAAAATATCAAATAATTATCACAACTGCCCTCAAGGAGAGTCGGCGTGGCCCGGGGCAAAACGTTCCCAGGGGTCTATACGACCTCATGATTGTAAAAGAAGAGAAGGGATATTTTACAATATATTACGCTTTATTGCATATTATCTGGCACTGAAGCAGCTAGGATTCGTATTCTCGGTTAAACAATCTTTTATCAAAAATTATTATAAGAGTCTTCGTCGCTTTGAGACTATTTTAAAAAGTTCATGAAGTGCTTTTAATGTTTTCCAGGTTGTTGAGATACAAACCACAGCATCTTATTGTAGAATACGTCTGAGATATCTTTTTCAAGTAGTTCAGACAAAAAACCACGGCAGTTTATTGAAGAATACTACCTACATTGCGACTCCCACGTTTGCAATAAATTTTTCAGGTGAGTTAAGGCGGATTTCCAGTCCTCGCACGAAGCTCCTCGCAGCTCGCTGCGAGTGCATGCATGAGCACTTTCATCCAATCACAATGCTAAACAGTTAATTTTAGTTAAATGCAAGCACTCGCAGCGAGCTGCGAGGAGGTTCGTGCGAGGACTGGAAAACCGCCTTTAGGACACACAAACTATGACAGCTTATTGTAGAATACTACCATGGATAATAAAATACATGGATAGGAAACTAGCTGACGTGACCTAATGTTTTCAATGGGATGATGGCGTTGAAACTTAGCTTGCAAACCAAATTCTCAAAAACGGCATGTTTAGCAATAATACAACTAAACATTTTAGTCAAAGAGCAAATAAATATAACTAGGCCATTCTACGATGAAATCTCTAAGTATTCCCAGTCAATTTTAGCAAATATTTCAAGCACTAAACAGTGAAAAATGCATCACAAATTTCGTTAAAATGGGCGACGCCAATTTAGTCGTAGCTAGAAATGTAAAAAAAAATACAAAACAAAGACGAAAAACATTTACCTTGAATACTTTGTCGTGGCTTAGGCATGTTTTTAAAACAATTAGACCAGTTTATGCTTCAATATTACTCTTTTAAAGCGGAAAATATAGCGAAACAACAAAAATGCTGACAACTTTGGCAATACGCGTGACGTCACAGATTGCAACTAGGTTTAGACTGTGACATCAGGAAGTTTCCTATCCAGTCATTTTACAATCCATGATACTACCTAACCTACACAACCACGGCAACTTATTGTAAAATATCAGAATCCTGCACTTGAGATAAACTTACATATTCTTCTCTGACGGAATCGTCACTGCATTGTTCCTTAGCTTCGTCAGGATCTTGATGTAGCTTAAGTTCTGCGATATCACCCTAAATCAAACCACAATTATACAAAATAATTCTTTTAACTACTAGTCTGAAACCATTAAAGGAAACCTCGTTGAATTGACCGTTATAAAAACGACATGTTAAATTATAGGACGAAATCTTTCCTGCATGGATATTAGAAAACTACGCGACGTTTTCGTAAACATGACGCAAACCAAAAAGAATCATTGGCTAACAACTCAAAGTCAGTCGAAATGCAACTAAAATTTGCGCCAAAATTCATCAGAGCTTTACATTTTGTTGTGTTTTTCAATTGTCAAACGAGGACCACGAACATATTGATGAACAAACGATTGTTTTGTGTTGTATTATACAATTGCGCAAGCGATCTGCGACTGGGAAAATTATCTTATTTTGAACGACATGCCTCCGTGCCTAAATAAAGTTCACTATTCACTGTTGGAAAAACCCTTCCCATGTTGGTCGAATATTTTGGTACTGTCGCAGATGTTTTATCCAGGATTGTGGCTATCTAATACCACTGTAAGCTCTATTCGAAGATTGGCTCCCAGCAGAACAATAAGATTCACAGGCACGACAATGATGAGATACTCACCTCAAACACGTTATATTTAGCATTATTTCCAGCCCTACCGAGGTGGAACAAACTAGTCCCAGGAATAATGAACGCTCCCCAAGTTTGTTGCGCAACTTTCTGTTCGACTTTAGTACCGCACGCGAAATACAACGTTATTATATCACCCTCTTTGCTCAAAGCAAACCTTGTCCATTTATTTGTGAATTCGTTCACTTTGAAACTGACCGTTTCATTGCTTTCGAAGTATGGATTCAGATACATAAACCTGATGGTCATATAGCCATCGAATTGATCCGTCGTTCCACGAACACGCAAGATCTCCAGGCCCAGGTAAACTTTGGAATTGTCTTCGCTGGTCGCAGCAAATAAGACGCCACCTTCGTCGTTTCCAGGCCGCACGGTCACCGTGATCGCAAAGTCACTTGGGAAGGATAGTGGTAAAATGCTCTTCGCAGGTCGCACTACGTCAGAATCGTTGGCGAATTGAAACGCGGGTTCTCCTTCTAAACCATTAGGTCCTTCAACCCAGATCACGCCTGTCGGGAGGGGTAACGCTATGACACTTGTAAAGTCGATGACATTTTCATCTTCCAACGCTCCTAAAAAATAGATAAGAAAAGTGTAAACTTCCATGCTGGGTTTCACTTTTGCCATAGCTTATCGAAGGGAAGATGGCTCATTAGAATAACAATATAACTCATTATCTATGTTAGTCAACGTTTATTCATAAATATGAATCTGGTCCATCACCGTCACGTGCGTATTGTATTTTTGCCCAACTAACCAATAGCAATTTTTAGTAGAAAAGTTACCTATCCGTGACTCGAACAATAGGGTGAATTGGAAATTGCTATTGGTGGATTTGGCAAAAATAGATAGATAGATAGTTTAATAGATTTTACATGGCAGCCGGATTGGCTGAATTGCGTAAAATTAACAAAACTTACATATTACAAGCAAATTAAATACAACACATACACAATTACATATTACTGAATGTAATAGTATTACTTATTTTTCACCCTGCTCGGTTTCCTTTGTTCTTATCGGGGAATATATTCAATATTCCCCTCTAATCAATTTCCGTTTAATAATCCCCTCTAATATTCACCTGCAATTAATAATCCCCTCTAATATTCATCTGCAATGTCTTTGCAGCACAAAAAATGAGAAAAAACAACATAACGAAGGCAATATGACATTAAGAATTATTTCTATTCTTACTCATTAATCACATATCCCCTCGTTGCCTCAAAATAACCTATACATATTATATGACATCAGCACAAATTCAGATATGTCCCCCACCACCACCACCCCTAAAATAGAGATCAACCAAAGTAGTAAGCACAGCTAGAGAGACCCAAAAACATGCATAAAAGCAAACGGTTGACGTGAGGCAGCGAAAATGGTGGCGGAAGTCATATCAGAACCCCACCAATATCATTTTAAACTACTCCTAAAATACACACATGACGATACACACATGACGGTGAAGGACCATATTTATGAATAAACGTTGACTTCCATAGTCATAGATGAGTTATATTGTTATTCTAATGTAGTAATGAGTTTCACGGCCATCTTCCCTTCGATAGGCCATGGTTTCACTGAGAAATGGAGAGCAAGACAAGGAAGTACGAAGACGTTTTGGCATGCTAATAAAATCAGGCATTTAGCTGTCGAATGCTTCCTTTCTTGTACCCGATTTTGATTGAAATAGCTAAATACGATCCGATGTAAAAATGCCAGTCGAAATCGCATTTTCAGCACCGTTGGGATTTGCATGTAAAGCTATTGTCTGAGTATTGAAATTATTCTCATTTGGGATTCAAATCAGTGGCGTAACCGGGGGTGTTTGGGTGCTCAGTGGCGGGGGGCCCCGAGCCTGGGGGGGGGCCGACAAAAATGACCATAAACGTTTTGCTCGTACATTGGGCAAATTGGTCCGAGCCTCAGTTATAGAGGTCAGAAAACTTGCAACGGGCCAACCCCAAAAGCAGGAATTGGTGAAATTTGGATCCCTTTTTTTGTAGACATGATGCGAAAAATTTTTGTAAATTCTTTTTTACTTGTCATAGTCATAAAATTTTTTAATTAAAGTTTTTTTAAGGAATATGGTTCGAAAAATGTTTTGTTTTCCCCCCCCCCCCCCCCGGGAAAAAATAAAGCCCCACTTAAAAATTTTACGTGGGGCTTCAGGAGGTTCCGTTACGCCACTGATTCAAATTGAAGTCCCTTGAGTAAATATGGCGCAACGCATGTGTAAGTCATTGAACTGAATATAACTGGAACACTACCTCCAACCGGAAATTTGAAGCCAAACTTGAAGACCTATCCCAGTCTTTTCACGCATGCGAAGAGCGCTCAATCAGTCAATGATATAAACACGCGTGATCTTATACCTCCAGAAACGCGTGTCTGGTGGTAAGATTTGGCCTCAAGAAAACTGAGATAGGCAGTTAATCTGAAGTCAATTCTTTGATTGAGTCGGGTTTTTTTCATCTACCGAGGTGATTATATTTAATAATCACATTGAATATTAATTAGCTGAAAAGATCAGAAGAAAAGGAAAAGTCAGAAAATCGCCGTTCAAAGCAGACGAAACAGACAAAACTTTTGTTGAAAAACCTCCTCAATCAACTGATTAACTAAATATGATAAACACCTCGAAAGTCGGGATTTATGTCAGATAATGCCCTCGGACGCTGCGCGTTCCAGTTAATATTCAATGGTGTTATATTCAGTTATATTCAATTTCAATGGTGTAAGCATCAAGTTTTGATAAACTTTTACTCGCAATTTTACGTCGAAATTGAGTGGCTAAAACATTTTACAACAGTGGAAGCTTGCAGACTGGGCTCACAATGGCACACGTTTCCCAAATGTTCTCTCCTCCGCAGAGGCTTCTGTTGGCTATGATTACGATTAGTATTGAGATAAATTTCACTACACTTTACATGGCGGATCTTGGAACACGAGCGGAGCCGCTGGGCGAAGGAGCGCAGGCGGAAAGGGCGAAGAGTCCCAAATGGGCAACGTAGGAAAATTGGAAGAACATTTAAATCCCAAAAGTGGAAAAATGCGAATTCCGACCTATCACTTTAAATGTGATTGCATTTGGACATTTTTTATCGCAATCATTCCATAAATTCAGGTATCACTTGTCAGCTAAAAGCCTGATCTTTGCAAATAAGAGAAAGAAAACCTATTATAGCTAGGTAATAAAAACCTATTATAGGTATTGACCTATTATAGGTAAAGTAATTATGTAAAGCTGAGGTAACTTTTTTCAAGGCCAGAAGCACTACGAGTTGAAAGTTATGTTTGCAAAATCAATCAATTATAGATTAAGAAAAATATTATGTTGATTTAAACTCTGACTGAGCGAAACTTCCCCATGGGAACACTCATTAAAAAGGTTACATGCATATATTCACTTAGGGTGCTGCCATTTTAAGTAAATTCTAATAAGAAGTAAGAACTGGTACAGTATTGTAGGCGTTTCATGGAAGTTAGGGAAACATTGATAGATTGCTATCTGCGCAAAAAAGTGTCGTTTGAATGTCGGAATTCAAGAAAGCATGACATATGTCTTAATTCATCATACGATACATCACATGAAGTCCCTCGTTAAATAACCAAAAATACATTAGGTTAGTTAGTGTATTGATTTAACCATGTGGCAGTCTGGACATAGGTTAGAACACCCACATGTACAATCATCATAGATAAGCCAAATATAGTTTATGTTTTCAACATTATATGGCCAGTTATGCAAGGTAAACACATTATATAGAAATGCTGATCAACATTCCCAAATGCATATATAGGCTTTCAAGATGGTCGCAGCGCTTCCAAAATGGTCGCAGCGCTTCCAAAATTCCATGAATTGATCTAACTTAAAATTACCCACAAATTTCGCATGGCCTTTATTTACACAGAAAACAACGCAATTAACAGACAATAAATAGAAGTTTGTCCTGTTTGTTTTGGTGTGTTAAACGTCGTGAATGAAATATTTACTGAAAAATGAAACGGACCAGCCTTCGTGTGCATACATGATGAATTTTTAACTAAAAATGTGAATTTGATTAAAATGCAATTAAAACTACATTCACGACCAAAATTGCCCTCAAGGAGAGAGTAAAATAGGACATCATACAAAACGGTATCTGGATTTTCGATTACAAGCGCGCGTGTGCCTTAATCGTTTCATTTAATTCTCATTTACTTATATCATGTGTTTATACTTTTTCATAATTAGCATGTTCACTTTTTAATCTGTTTCACATTAAGTCTATAGCCGCGAAGAACCTATAAAAAACACACCTCATAAATTTATAGAAGAAATTTCAAACTAAAGACCGCAAAGCTTTGCTAGAATTGGTTGCAGAATCACTTTGGAATTTTCTTATAATACTTTATGACGCCAGTTAATGTAAAGGGGGTTAAGTAGCAATTCTTTGTTTGCAATCACGTGACAATCAAACAACTTGGACAATTTTTCTCCTATCAGAATGGTTCGGTAGCAAGAAAAACTGAACTGACCGGTAATTCATCTTTTCAGTCTTAATTAAACTGTCAATACATTAACTCGATCAATACATTAAAAAAAATAGCATTTTTTTTTTATAACTGCCCGTCAACTGAAATCCCAAAATTACGTCATTGACATTGGGAAACAACCAACAAAAGTCTGTTTATGACTCTTGTCACATAGCTTGTAAATATTATTCATTATATTTCTCTTGTACTAGCAATACAGCAGGGTTTATTTTAAGAAAATATTAGAACTGCACATGTAAGGATGTTACGAAGCATAAGATGGTTGACTGTCAAAGGATTTTTTATGTAGATTAGATATTCAACGTTAAAGTTGTAAATTATGATAGACTCTTAATTTGCGCATAGCTGGCATTATTCTGGGTGGGAGAAAAGCCAGACAAACTAGATTATGGGTGGGGGACCTAGAGGAGTGTTCCCCAGGATCTTATAAAGGCCTGGCAAAGCAAAACCACCCACCGAAAACTGTTTCAAAACATGTAACAGGGAATCATGAATATTCAATATATATACTGATAACCTTAAATTTGTATTTCAGGCAGCAAAGAATATTAGGTTCTCCCACTCCAATATCTTTTGGGAGCTTCTCTCGCCCCAATTTTACCTTCTGTTCCATTACCCCCCAGCACGTAAGTGATTTTGTGAGGAAACTAGGAGGGTCTGGGTATCTTCGCCCATTGATAGTCAATGACAGCATTTCTGGAATTTTCTGGAGCATCCACAAAAAAACCCGAGTAAACAAGAAGACTGTTTTAAGGTTATATATGTTTGTTAATTTGGTGACTGCACATCTGTGTTTTAAGAGCTGCACAAATGGGTTTAGAACTGCATATTTTGTGTAGAACTGCATGTTCTGTACCCTGTAATACAGTAATCATATTTTCCTACACTGCATAAACACTGTTTAAATAACCCATAACTCCAGACTCTCTAAACCACCATGGAAAACCAGGAATTTCGTTATATTTACCAGGACGTCCCTGCAGATCGCGCAGACAAATTAAAGCAATAGAATGGGACCGATGCTCACGACCAATAGCTTCGCTTCTCGCTCCAGTTATAAAGGA